AAAACTTGCACAAGAAACTCTGCTTTTCATGCGCTGGAGTTGCAGCATTAGATTAGATTAACGTCATGTATCTCCAGTAAGCTTGTCTTGACTTTTAAAGGATAATACCACCAGAATCTTTTCTTTTCTTCCCACAAAGTGAACAAATGTGTTCCCGCAGCAGCCAGACGTCACCGCTGTCTGCACCGCCCAACTTTCCAGGAATCAACGGCTCCCACACTTCAAACATTTCATTACGGCCCGACTTGCCGAGTCACACTCGCGCAATGACGATTTTAATCCATCATGTATTCTTTTTCCTGCATGACTTTATAATGCAATCACTGCAGCTGCTCCAGCATCACAAGCTGTTCCTACTCAGCAGAAAGAAGAAGAAAGAAAAAAAAAAACAGATTCTTATGAGGTACATCTGCAGCAGCAACAAGTGGTCAGTTAAGCAAAGTGTGATCTCAGCCCGGTGATGAGAGCTCTCATCTGCCGACACATTTGGAACGAGATGAGCAGACATTAGGAGGCGAGGGAGCGAATCAGGAGCTCAGAGAGAAGAATCTGGAAGAAAAATCTGTCCGTGGTTTAAAAATTCAATCCAGGATGTATTTTAGCTGAGAGGAGGTGATGTTATTTCTGATTTACAGTTCTTTAGAAAAGTTTCTGAAGATTGAATTCTACGTGAGCAACACTTCACTTCAGTTTTCACCTGAGCAGTCGTCTCCTCAGTCATTCTGTAGAAACTTTTCTATAAATGCAGCAGCAGTGATTACTCTGCTGTAAAGTCAAGTTTGAAAAAAGAAACCAAACATAAAAAACGATGATATCTGCAATACTTTTTTCAATGCAGCGTCTGAGCCTGAGAGCTGTTTTTATTTGGGGAACAATGGGAGCCGATTGTTTCTGGGAGGTCGGCCAAAGCCGGCGTACAGTAATAGAGACAGTAGGAGCTTCTGACTGCGCTGAATGCATCACTGCTGCTGGGTTTCTACTTCGGTTTGATTAATGATTTTGGTCGATCGTTGACTTTCTCTTTTGTTTGTGCTCTTGTTCCCTCCCCGCCTTCACCTCTGCTCCTCCTTTTAACTCCTACAAGTGTCTTCTGGCTGTTGAAATGCTCTTAATGGTAAAAAAATATATATACACCAAGCAAAGCAAAAAGCAAAAGTTGCTGTCATACCTACAGGAAAACAAACACAGCGTCTGAGCAGCTGTGGTTTGGTTCTCAGTCACTAAACTCTTGTGCATAAACTAAATCATCTATAGATCTCATATCAAGCTTGTGTAATAATTAAACGTTTTTTTTTTCTAGCTGTAAAATATAATTTTGTCCCGACTGTTTTAACCACCTGCAGCACCGACTAAGTGACTTTTATGAATCATTCTGTGGATGCAGCTCCTCTTCCATTTGCATTAGGATGGAACAGGCGTAGCAGAACAGATATGCACATGTGATCACTTCTCCTCTAAATCCTCCACTTTCTCCTTTTTCTCTTTCCCCTCTCCGGCTGTCATTCACCGACGCCGTCTCGCTCTCCTTCCTCCTCCTCCAGACGCTGCAGATGGGCATAAAGCATTTCTCGGGCCTGTTTGTGATGCTGTGTGTGGGCGTGGCCTTATCTCTCCTGACCACAATAGCAGAACACATCGTGTACAAGCTGGTGATCCCCAGAGTCAAGGAGCCGCGCTTCAAATACTGGCTGCACACTAGCCAGGTACGAACACACACAGAGAGCCACATCACAGCCACCAAACAGGTGCTCTAACAGCAGACAGGATGTAGGTTTAATTGTGTCTTATGACGAAAAGCATTAACACTTGCTTCCCTTCAATGGTTATGCATCATCTGGTTTTAATGTTGTGGCTCATCACTGATTGCTGTTTTCTTGTTGGATTTACAGTCTGCACGCTCCAGCTAACGTGTTGCTTGTTTTCCAGAGATTACACCGAGCCCTCAACTCAGTCTTCACCGACGACAAGCTACCGACCGTCACCAAGCCTGAGAAGAGGTACTGCTCTTGTCTTTGAAGTGGCGGGCTCAGTTTAATCAAATAACCCCAGCAGACAACACTGAGACACCAGTCTGTAGTATATTCACACGTTAATGAATTTGATTTGAGGAGAATCCCGTCCCTGAGTGACTGAACTGAGCGTGAACCGGGCCCAGATGTGTTGTAATTATTTGGGGCTCATTTAGCACATTGTGTTCCGACTCGGGACTTGGGCTCATTAAAAGTTTTGTCATGCAAGTATGCATCAGAAACAGCTTCGCCCTTCACTGGAGGAACAATTTTGGACGCTCTGTTCCCGTTTTTGTCGACGTGTATTCTTACTATTTGCAGAGTTACAACAAACTGCTGCACACCTACGACACCATGAGCCTGTTTGGGGAAATCTGCGTTGTGGTGCAAACATCTCAGAAATATTAACAGATATTAAAACAAAGTATTGGTTCAGTGTCCTCCGGATGTTTAAATTACAGTATCCGGTACTGCACAGATTACTGTATGAGCAGAAACACTGACACAGACATTTCTATGTTGCACTAAATGCATATTTTCCTCATTGCTTAATATCGTTACAACAACTCCAACACAATCGCTGCGTCCTGCTCAGAGGTGAAGGCATCGTCCTGAGGCTCTCTGTGGACCACAGAGGAGCCACATTCATTCACTCCTAAACGCACAGAAGCTGTTCCAGCCAGAAGCCCATTTTCCAAACTTAAACGGCCCATTGGCTAAATTATCAGGTTGAGAATAAGTGACATCAATTAACATCCAAGTGGCAGTTAAGGGACCCGTTTTTAATCAGAAACTAAATAGAATGGTCAGCCTGTTGGAAGCCAATTATCAGCAAAGGAAATTGAGGAAATAATCTCGTCCTGACGTCACGGCGTATTGTTGAAACGGAGACAGAGATACAGTAGATCATGAGAGCGTCTTTCTGGCCCGTTTCAGAGTCTTTTCCAAAGTTTCATGGACGCCCTTCGTCCCGATTAGTTACATAAACCTCCCCGTCGCTCTGACACCACTGTGTGTGTGTCACGGTACCCTTCTCCTCACATTTAGCCTCTGCTCGTGTCACCACGCTTTAGTTTTTTTTTTTTCTCTCCGTCTGCTTCTGAGGGGAGATCAAAACAAACCTCGAGCATCTGCTGAGCAAACAAGTTCCATTTTATTCTGCTCTGCATGACGAGTCCCGCTGCACTCTGCTTCACACCTCTCCCCACTTAGCTCCGGCACATTGAGGGGACACTCAGGTGAAGCACTCAGCGCGGGGATTAAATACACGGAATAATTATGGCGCCCGAGGCCGTGTGAGGGATGCCGGTGGTAATGAGGATAGATTTCCCACTCTTGCATAATTACGCTCAGTCAATCAAGCTCTTTTCCATCAAGCGTCAGAAATCGTTACCGTCTTATTGTCAGAAACTTTGTGCGTGTCAAACACAGGATTTGACGCCGTGAGTGGCTCCAGTTTGGACTTATTCACAAGAAAATCGCCTGAATTGATCAACATCAGCCGCACCGCTGCAGCACATCCACCGCCGCTCTGCACTGAAAGCATTATGGGACCAAATGGAGCATACGGGTGAAAATGAAATTGGCCACGACGGCTACTTAGGATCGAACCATAACGTATTTCATCTCCTAACAAGGCTGCAGGAAAACCCCGAAGGCATCAGAGGACTGTCTGTCCGGGAGAATTAGGAACAGCGTCTGTAATTCCCTGAAACATTATCGGGTGGCCAATTAAAAGCTGTGTGATTTAGTATCAGAGAGGCAGCGTTAAGGTCAGCAAGCTCGAGTAAAGACTGACATCGAGGCGAAAATTGGATTATCTGTCACTTTTAGAGGATCAATAATATCAGCTGCTGGCCTCTGTGATGGAGAAATTCATTTTTTTGCATTTTTACACTAAAAAAACAATCATAATGTGTATTTATATTAGTGGGAAGTGAGCATTTTGACATATTTAATGCAGTTTTACTGTTATATTCTTCTGTTTCTACACCTGACATGTTCTGCAGCATCTACACGACTGGACAGACGTCGTGTTTCCTCTGTTTGGACGTATTTTCATGTTTAAAAGACGCTCGTGTAATCACCGTTTAGAGCAATTTGCAGAAGGACCTCGTGCGAACTCAAGAATTGTCCAGTAATCTGACACTTGAGCGAGTTTCTACCTGCGACAGCGTGGTCAAGAGGTCGTTCAAACTTGTACAGAACGGCGCCCCCGAGCTGCCGGGGTTCAATATCGCGTTCAAGGACACTTGAGCGGGCGCGCCGGTGCCCTGCCTGTTGAAGGACTGCCTATCTGTGCTCGCCGCGCTGCACGCTGTGTGTCTTGGTGTGACTGCTGATAGCAACATCTGTACCGACAGATGGGCTGGGAGATAGCGGTTGTTGTTGAAATATTGCTAATTCCATTCTAAGTATGTAGATCTGCTGCAGCTAAACAGAGAAGGAGTCGTCCTCTGCACCGGCGGCAGCGTGAGACATAAAAGTAGGTTTTAAGCTTTATCATGCGTCTGACAACTTACAGGAAGTTGCAAGGACGTGTAGAAGCGCTGCGCAGAGAGCAAATCGATATTTCTTAAAATGTAAATGAAGGAGCAGGTGGACCTTAATGAGAGGAATGTGGTGATCCTGCACATTAGAAGAAGGAGGGACCAGATATCTGTGGACATTATGTGGAACAATCTGAGAGCTGTGATGAGGAAAATACGTAGACCTGCAGTTTAGTATGTAGGGCCCTGAATTTCACTGTAAAACGAACTAACTCTGGATGTTTTTGAGTAAAGAATGAAGACGTCAGAGAGAGAAATACAGCGATTTGATCCTAAATGTGTAGTTTTTCTTTCTGGCTTGCATTCAGACAGACGTTTGACAGATATTTTAGCATAAATGCATCTTTTAGGGAAGAGAAAAATCACTATTTTGGAAAATATCATTGATACAAAGGACATCCTAACACTGGAGAAAAAAATCAGATTTATATTTCAGCATATTAATCTGTTTTATTAAAAAAAAGCCAACAGTATGGTGCACACGTTCCTCTCTGACCTTGACATCATTACTTCTTGTGGGTCGCTGCACTGAGCTAATCTCTGCCAGGCAGGAAAAAAGAAAAAATACAGACTTCATACATTTTTGTGGTGAGACGACGTGAGCACCGTCTCAATCAGCGTTTCAGTTCAGATCATGAAAGCCGAGGCGGCGGCTCTTTCATATAGGAGTTAACACCTGGACACCTAAATCAAGGAACATTTGCTTAAAGGCCGGATGGAAGAGCAACAGACGTATTTCTACTTAGAGCGGAAGGTCTAGAGGCTGCGGAGTGCTAATAACCAGAATCATCTTCATTTGTGGGAGCAGACGCAGAGTGCTTTCAGGATGAATAAATAAAAAAGAAAAATAATTCGTAGATAAAAGCAGAAAATGCACGAAAAGAAAGATAATATACAAAAGGTCAAGAGCAGCTCACATGAAAGCTGTAAACTGCTGGTTTTAATGTTATTTCTTGATAGCACAAAAATCCTGGTCAGCAGTTGTTTTAATTCCAGGTTTTTTTTTTTTTTTTAGATCATATCGCTCCTGTAATATAACCGAGTGAGTTACAGAACCGCTCCGGCACTTACAGGCAATGCTAATAGAGATTCTGAAACTGAAGGGGATTATCATAAGACCGGAGGCTTAAGAGATCTGATAATGTTAACCACATTTCAAAACGCTCGCTCCTCCGCCGCAGCCATGATGTAAGCACAGGTGCCCTCTTGTCAAAAGGTGCACATATCGTTTTAAGACCAAACTCTTTTCATGTCCTTATATTCAGACGCGTCATCGCCGAGCTTAACGTCTCTTTTGATGTCAGGAGTATCTCATTAGATTCTTCTTGTCACTTTTATTTTTTTTTTATACCTTTGATTCAGAGAGCTATTCAGTCAGGCTCTGCTTCATATGGACGGAAATCCCTTTTCTCTGCTCCCTTAATGAAATCAGGACTTTTTTAGCTTCCAGATCTGGTCCAATAGATTTTTAAAAAAGTTTGTGTTTGAGAGAGGAAAACTAATTTTGTTCTCTTTTTTTCTGGCAAGTCAGATCTATATTATAAATTACAAGAGGAAGCATTAAAGGTGGCAGGGAGTACATATATTATATTACTGCTACTTTGGGTTTCATCTCCAGTGACAGGGAGCAGAGAGCGGCGGAGATTTCAGAGGATTTAAATCAAGCTTAGGTTTGTATCCACTAAAGGTTGATTATATTATCATCTCAGGACAGATTTCAAAAGAAAATCTCACTGTTTGTTTCTCTGGATATGAACCCAGAATATTGTCGTCACAAGGTCTTTAATCACCACAAAACCTCCTAATAAAGTAAAAACTTTAATAAAGCTGATTTAAAACCATTTCAGTGGTATATAAATCATCTGTGATCTAGTAGGACGATCTATCCAGTGAAACATTTCAGCGGTTGTTGAAGTGTGAAGTCGAGGACGGACGCTCGCTGGTCTTCTCTCCAGACCCGGGCTGACACCAGTCTCATGTAACCCTCATTCATGTATTGCAGATGCCTCTTTCTGTCTGCCCTGCTCCTATCATGTCCTGATGCTGTGTAAAAGAATAATAAGAAAAAAAAGGTGGACGCTTTGGGCAAAGGTCCAGAGCGACTTTATGTTTTTTCATGGTCTGTGCAATCAAAGACGTTTATGTGTCACCGAGGAGATCCGCAACCGGCCGTTTTTCTGAGGTTCTGTAGCTTCAAAGACGATCGAGTGAAATAGTTCTGAATTCATATTTTCCCTCTGTGGTCCGCGGTGCTTCCACAGAACATGAAACATGCATATGAGGGATAAATGGGTTGAAGCGCTGGCAGGAGGAACCCTGTAAAACGGACTCTTACTGAGGATCAATCTGCTCAGAAGGGACGCGAGGCAAAGAGGAAGGATTCGTCATGTGTTATGTGTTTAAGCCGGGAAATAACATGACACCAGTGATGTCGTGTCAGAAGAACAGCTCACGTCTCCGGGCCAAGGCGGTGCTGCTGCTGCTCATTAGCTTAAAGACAGACCTCCAGGTTGGATGAGCAGGTTTGTGGTGCCAGAGGAAATTAATTGGACATGAATTTGATTTCTACACTTGGCTCTGACATTGAAGGTCTTTTTCTTTTTTTCTTGAATACCTGAGTTTGGAGGAGGTCTGTTCATTAAAAACCGAGTGAAAAATGTTCTGGTTATTTTAAAAAATGACAGAAAATCCAGGCATCTGTTGATTCCTTTGCTCCAAATGGCTGCTGTTCCTGTGGCTTCACAGCACGCCAAGCTCCACCAAAAATAGGTTTGTAATATGACCATGGGGCTGAATAATTAGGTAATGAGACGGAGAAGTCCAACCCTGTCTACACCCAGAACACGCTGCTGTACGGTACAAACCGGTGTCCAGGCCGAGTCATAACCCGAACACTGGTTCTGTAATGGAAACACTCAGATGTTGTCTTAGTCGGCCTGTAAAGCTCCTTTCTGGTCATTGATTAAACCCTAAAAACTCTTGTTTGTTTTACATATTTTGAACTTTCCCCATGAATATAATCCCTTCATACCTTCAGATACCTCTAATGAACCTGCTGCTTCCTCTAGAATGAGCAGACCCTAATATCCCTGCCTCTGTTCAACCACCCTTCCCAGTTAGCTGTGCACGTTAAAACCAGGAAGCACTTCTGAACACAAGTATTGATGCAGAAATCCCCATAAAGCAATTTGATGTTTGTTTGTTTGTTTTTTTTTTTTAGGTTTGTTATGTATGAAGCCCCAGAAGTCTGAATGTGCATGTGAACATACTCAGTGTTGTGACCCAGCTGTGACTGGTGAAGGTAAAGGTAATTTATTGCTCAGTGATGGAACTAAACAAACCAGAAACTTGAAACAAGAGACAACGAGTAACTTGTTCACTAAGTCAACAGTTACAGAAGACACGAAACACAAAGAGGCACCAAGACAAACTGTTCCCACTAAACCCCAGCCAACCTGAGTGTGAGGCTGAATGTAGATTTATGCTCCAGGTGTGCTGATTGCTGCAGCTGGATTGGATGAAGGTGGAGGGTGGTGGCCCAATCAGACGGGTCAGGAGGCGGAGAGAACGAGGGCTGGAGTGCAGGTCTTCATCTCCAGGCTAATCAGAGGAGATGACTGGCAGCTGGGACTAAACAAGCCCTCCTTAAACAATGGTGACAAAAGTGGGGCTGCAGGTGGCTCAGTGGTTAGCATCGTTACCTCACAGCTAGAAGATCCTGGTTCACGTCCCGATGAGGACACCCGGGATCTTCCTGCGTGGAGTCTCCATGTTCTCCCCGTGCAGCGTTCTCTCCGGGTTCTCCGGCTTCCTCCCACAGTCCAGAAACATGCTGAGGTTAATTGGTGATTGTAAATTGTCCGTAGGTGTGAATGTGAGTGTGCTTGGTTGTCTGTCTCTAAGTGTAGCCCTGTGATAGACTGGTTACCTGTCCAGGTGAACCTGCCTTCACCCTGAGTCAGCTGGGATGGACTCCAGCCCCCCATGACCCTGGTGAGGGTTAAGGTGTAGAGATGATGGATGGATGGTGACAAAAGTCCACCACAGAAGTGAGACAAGCACCAGTGGTCGTAACACTCAGCATCAATGATGTTAGTTGTTGGTACGCTGGGAGTATATTAGCAATAAAATCTGACAGATTAGCATCAGGTACAGCTGAGCTATTATTCCAGGTGTTTTGTCATTATGGCCTCCATCAGTCGTCTCTTTCTTTTTCACAATCAGTTTCTGAGGACCACCTGCTCTCAGATCATTCATGCATGTGCCATATTTCATTTCTTCATGATGAATTTAATTTTCCTCCAAGAGATATTCAGTGACTGAGAAACTTTCCTGCATCCGTCCACTGAACTGGGCTTTTCAGTAACCTTTTCACAAAGTCTCCTGAAGTGTTCGTTTGTCTGCACGGTGCAGGAGGAATGATTTACCGGTGAATGGACTTTACAGTCTTTACACTGCATCGACCTGAGACACAGTCACTGCTCTCATGTCTTGATTTCACTAATTGTGTGACGTGGTGCCGTTTGGCTGCACCTGTGTTTAATTAGGTAACATCACTTGAAACGGGGGTGAATACTTATGCAATCACTTATTTTACATTTCAGATTTTTTTTTTTTTGACGTTGTAGAAATCTGTGTTCAGTTTGACGTGAAAGGAGAAAACTTCCAAGCAGGATGAACACTTTGCATAAATACTGGGGGTCTGTTTGTTGTGCAATAAGCACAGAACTGTCTGTGCAACAGCAGCTCAGTCAGTCCAACATGACATCTGTGTGTCTGCTCAGTAGTTTGGGAGAGAGATGTGATCCGAGGCATTGGTCTCACGTAGGATTCAGACTGGAAAGATGGAGTCAGATGATATACAACTTTCCTCCCCTGACATTTAGAATTTCTGCCTCACATTTCCCTCTATCTGCCTTATCTCCAGGTGCAACGAGGGAAACAACCAGTCAGCATCCTGGAATCCTGCCGAGTCTTCTCACTGCAACCGGCGAAGGGTCCTTCCACAGGAGATGCAGAACGATCTGGAGCGCCCCTCCTCCCAGGACCTCCCACCTCCACCTCCACCCTCTCCCCTGCCTCACCCCCACTCCCTCCCCCTGCTGGAGAAACACCTGCCCATCGTCACCACGTCCAACGGCCGCTCCGACCTGCTGGGACGGGCGCTGAGCCAAGGACTGGGGCCGGGCCAGGGCGGTTCTGGGCAGGGCGTAGCACCGTGTCGGGGTCTGGGAGTGGGCGACTGCGGTCCAGGCCTGGGCGTCGGCCGGAACCCGCTGGTTCAGGAACTGTCAGAACTGGAGGGTCAAATCCTTGTGATCAAGCAGCAGCTGCAGTCCGCCATGAGGAGGAAGAGAGAGCTAGAACAGTACCAATCAGAAAACCAGCAAGCAAACCAGACTGCACCCAGTCAGCCCACTACGCACCAGTCTAACCAGTTTGGTCAGTACACCCAGTCCCACCAGCAGACTAACCAACACACAAACACACACCCAGAGTTTTGAAGCTTGTCTCCTCTGTTTTGTCCAGAGAATCCTGGTTAGACACAGGACTAGTTTCCAAACCCTCCTCTGGGTCCTGGATAAGGATCCTTGCCTGAGCTCTGGAGCTGGAACCCTCACTGATCTCCAGCAGCAGGATCCTCCTTTAGGCTCAGGAGTCCCCCCTGACTGCTGGACTGACATGTGGTCCAGATATCAGGTCCTGCTCTGTAACTCCAAGTAGGACATTTCTGGACTTCTGGAACGTGAGATATGATGAAATGAGAAGCGCTGGACCGGGGATGAACCAGGGATCTTGAACCAAATCTGTTCCGAGACCCTCACTAGCTTCTTGTGTCACTGAAGAGCTGTGCAACCTCCTCCTCTTCTCCAGCTCCCTCTTTGCCATTTTTTTTAAAAACCTCCTTTTCTGGTCCTTCCATTTTTTTTTTCTTTTCCATTCCTTTTCTGCTCACGACTTCCTTTTGTCCCCGTCATGCCTCCCCCCTAAGCCTTCAAGGGTACAGATTTGCTTGCCATGATGTTAAGCTTGATCATAGATATGAGGACTCTTTGGTATTTAAGCTTAATGGACTAATTCACCTGAGTGTGTTAAGACTCACTGAGAGCGTAAAATGGCCTGAGGTTGAACCCAGCCAGTTAAGTCTTTATGTCCTTGTGTCTTGCTGAAACCTCGTATGTTTCAGACGCAGAACTGAAGAAAAAAGATCCACCTGCTGGTCACTGGTTGGTATCTCCACCGATGACCTCGTGTTTGTGGCCTTTGGCAGCGCTTTGGCAGTTACTTTGGCTTTGGGCATTTTTTTTTCTAACAAGCCTGTTGAGGGTTGGTGGGCCGGCGTTAATGAGCAACAAAGATATACGGCTTTCGCAAGACACCTTTACATGAATAACCTGGTTGGCATGTGGTGGTGGTGGGTTATAGGACAATACACAACCGTACGTATGAACCACTGTATAATGTTGTCCTGCACTTCACTGATGCACTCCTGGTTTCTTGAAGTCATCATCTAACCTGTCAGAGTCTGACTTATGGTCTTCACTGTGGGCTCGTGGCAACATCCAGGCTGAAAAACACAAAATTGTAATAAATCCAATCAGTTTTTAAGTCAGGGAACCAAAGCAGAACCTTTTTGCCCAACTTCTCGAGAACATACTGGTGCTCTTATATTATCGTGACACAACAATCACAGGAAGCTCCTGGTCGGGCCCACTGTTTGGTAATAAATGAACGGAGACCACCGGTCGAACTCTGACACGTTATTTCATGTGATGCACATTCACGACTGAACACCGAAACAGCTCCTCTGTGATGAGACCTGTGTTCTTCCATCTTTTCTGTTTTTTGGTTTGGACATGTTCTGTTATTAAAAATGTACCTCTCCTCTTTGCAGTTAATTTAGCAGGAACCTTTTTATTTTTCTCTCCTGCAGTGTCTGTAAACGATGACCACGACAGAGACGGGCAGGATGCAGCACGCTAACAGCATATTTTAATTATTAGACCTCCATAACCTTGAAATTGTTGGTTTAAAGCAACTCGCCCAAAAAAACAAAAACCCCTTAAAGGTGCTGTATGCATTTCTAATCCAATGCATGTTTTTTGTCTCCTCCTGGTCCACTAGCAGTCCAGTATTCAGCCCCGGTTCTGTAAACAGGAAACAAACAAATAGGGGCCACACAACCCTATCCTGGTGTTTCCATGTGCACGTTCTTGCTCGTGCACTAACTCTGGGGGGAATAAGAGGAGCAGAGGCAGCGACAGAAAGCATCTGAGCGATCCAAATATGCAGCTGAATGTCAGCAATCTTGAGAATCACACACGCCACCTTTAATGCCATTTGTTTCTAGCGATAAAATTAATTTGCCAAGTGAAGGGGCTTAAACGATGGCCACAGGCTCGATGATTTCAGCAGGATTTCAGGGATTTCCTTCTCACCACAGAGCTCCTGTTACAGAGACAAGCGAGAGCCAGTCGCAGCAGAGGAGCGATGGCTGGAATCCAGGGCACACAAATTGTATATTCAGGATTTATTTGCTAGATTTTTTTTCTGGCCATTGAGATTCACCTGCAGTTACTTATTTCCACCCATCTTAATAGATTCCATTATGAACCCCCTGCAGCTATATAAATAACCAAACCACTCTGAGCTCTGCTCCCTACCTTGAAACGATATTTGGTTGTTGCACTATTCTTCACTCGTATTGCTAGGGGACAGCAATTTGGACAGGGAAGCATAATCAGAACAGCCAACGATGACATTTTATGAACACATGGCATGGTCAAATACTGCCGCACACACAAACACAAACAGCTCCTATCTATTTAGCCAGTGTGTCTGCAGGCTAAGCGCCGGCTGTCACAGCTGAAATGAATACCTGACAGAGCAAAAGAGCGAGTGCACTGGCTGAGCCGTCAGCTTTCTTTGTGTCTCTGCGAGCGGCTGCCTTGCTTAGCAGTGACACAGACATCAGTGGAGGCGATGCGGATGTAACAGGATGAATCAACAGACCAACTCAATGAGAACCTGGTTTTAGCATATCTGTGCTCGTTCTAATCACTTGTCTGGGCAGCGGCGTGCGGCCGGACAGGGTGTGGTGCCAGAAGAAAAGGGCTGCCGCACAAGATGTGACACCCGGAGCAGGAGACGAGAACAAAGTCACATCCGTATTGACTTATTGGGGGCCTGTCTAAAGATAGCTCTAAAACAGCTCTTCTGTTTTTTTTCCTCAGAGAAGCAACAACATGAAGCATCAACATTAACACTTGCCTCCCAGAAATGTTCTGATCAGTCAGACTGTCCTGAGATGGCCTCACATTAACTTAGATGACTGTAACTCAAGCATCAAGCTTCATAAAGCATCGAAAACCAGACATCGAGGATGGAAGCATCTCTGAACTAAACACTGTGGTACTGGTTATGATCTTATCACACGACCATCCTGCAAATGTTCATCCGTCTCATATTCACTTCAAGCTGGAGTTCAGCTCTGTTTAGAACCAACGATGCGCCGCGTCTGGAAATAGAGAAGCCATTAAAGTTTGGGCAAAAATTCCATAATAGCTATTCTTCATGTTGTAATTGAAGTGGTTTGAGAGGACACTAGACTTCTGCTCCTCATCTTGGCTGTGATGCCAAATGTAGCCTGAGATGAGAGACTCGGTCTAATCAGAAAAATCTATTCAGACCAGATTAGGTGAGATAGCGTAATGAGCTCCAGTGGGACTCGGATGTGGTCCCTGAATGGGTTAATCAGACGATTGTCACTCAGAAAGTGAGATTCAAGTTGTGTGTGAAGCTAAAAGTCAATGATGCAGCTGCCTGGCTCTGAACAGGAGAGGAAACACTGCAGGAAGACAGCTGTAGCTCAGAATTATGATTATGCTTTTATGCTTTTATGTCCTTTTGCAGATTTCTACCTAATGCAGCTTTAATTTATCGTGTGTCTGCCCTGCTTAGTGCATTTCATCACACCACCTGAGTAGACTATATCTAACATCTCTCAAAATCTAACAGTCTGTGATCTCTGAGATCAATATTTATTTATTACCCACATCAGGACCTTGACATAGCATCCTCTTTCATGGCTGAATGCAGGGAAGTTTCGTTGAATGGAAGGATAATGTGACTCTACCTTTAGGCTGCAGATAAGCCAGAAGAGAGAGGAGGAGGATTTGTATGCAGCAGAAGTGATACTGCAAGGCTCGACTCAGGGGGGGGAGAAAAAAAATGAAAGAAACCAAAACAAATCTCTGGATATTCAAACAAGCACAAGGACAGACACGTTTGCCACTTCCTCCATCAAGGTAACTCGCTAATGCTGACTGCGAAGACGGATCATCCTCGTCCTCGGTCACATATTTTCAACAGCAAATGAAAATTTACCACATTCTAAGTCTTTTTTTTTTGGCCCTTGTGCCTTTATTGGATAGTTTTTTTTAGTCAGAGAGAGACACGATGGGGGGAGGAATTGTGGGAAATGGTCATGAGCGGGATTCGAACCCATGATCGGGACTGTAGCCCTGCACCTGGGACGCCAGCTCAACCAGGTGAGCTATAGCGGCGCCCAAAATGTACCACATTCTGACACGTAATGAAAGAACACGACGAGAGCACGTTGTTGCTACTGACTATTTAATTTGTGGACAAACCGAGAAAAAAAAAAGAAAAGAAAATATATGTAGCATTTCAAATGAAACACTTTTGTTTTTTTTCCGCTCTCAAAGTAAAAGACAATTATAATCACAATGATAATGAGTAATATCTATAAAACATCTTCTCTCTTCATGCTGGGCATATCTTCCAATAGGAAATGGAGTCACAACATTGCATCACAATCCACTGGTGGGTCGGGGAGAGGGAGGGGCGCCTCCAGGAGGAAAAGTGAAGCAGGAGTCACTGGTTTCACTGGTTTCACTGGAAGGGGGCTAGCCGGGCCTCGAGCCAATCGCTCTGTTTGTCTCTGTTTTTAACGTCTTCCATTGGAATTTCTGTTTAAATTTAATTGATAGCAGTGAAATCTTCAGGTGCATCTGGCACGGACTAGCCCCGCTGAACCTCTTAGAGATTCCTATTAACATCCCAGTGAATCGAGAAATTGGGGTGAAACACACTCGTAGCGAGCATTTCAACCAATCACATTTTCATACTGTACACTGTGGCTGATAAACACGGCCCCCCCGCAGGGTGCCAAACCCCATTTTCTGACTCGGAGGATGTCATTGACTCTTCCTTGGCATTTCCTCCGAAGGGAAGAGGAGCTGTTCCCCCAAAACACCTAAACTGATACCAAAACATATCCAGGTTTACAGCAGGCAAACAGGTCCAAATGGATCATAATATTCATACAGATTAACAAAAATCCTTAAAAAATACGACCTGACGCGGTCCATTAATGTACAGAGAGAGATAATAAAAAGAAGGATTCTGTCTTTTCTTTTTTTTTGTTTTCTGTACAAATGACAAACACCACAGAACAACAACATCGATATTTTTTCCATAGCAGATTTTTCAGACTGAGTGGGAGAAGATGCGGTGACGGACGAGGCATCTCACCTGACAGGATGTGATGTAAAACAGGGTGGGTCAGCTGACAGGAGGTGTGCAGGTTTTAACATCGTCAGGATAGGCTACAGCACTCGCTCATACAAAATGTACAAAACATTGTCCTCTAACTACAAACAGCGCACCTTGGAGGGAAAAACTGTCCCATGTTTCCAATGATTTTTGAAATACCCGGAGAAACGGTGTGTGCTTAAGTCGGCCGTGTGAGATTTTTGGATGCGGTCTGTGTGCCTCGGCAGGTTGGAGTGAGCAGAGCCCAACTGGATGCAAACCATTACAAACATGGTGGGTTTTGTCCCCCCAGGTGATTTTTTAAACAGATGTATCAGGAGTGTTTATTTTTCTGTCGTAAGCATTCGGAGCCACGTGGCATGCGTCCTCGTCATTGTGTCTGGAAGTGCTGTGGAGACGCAAACGTGACCCGGTGCTGCCCCCTTAGTCATGTGACCTCCGTCATCGATGCCGAGTGGTTCTGGAAACGGACGTGGGAGGAAGGAAGGAAGGAAGGGAGGAAGGAAGGGGGGAAATGAGAGAGACAAGGAAAGAAATAAAATGGAAGGCGACAGGAAGGAGAGGGGGAAAGGAGTGGAAATGAACAAAAGGTAGAAGGAAAGTCATCGTCAGCTGGTGTGAGGAGTGCTCAGTGTGAGTCGTAGTGCATCTGGCAAGGAGGAGGAGGAGGGCTGTAGTGCAAATGTCATGCCTGTCATGTGTCATTGCTTTGTGT